ATCTATGGTGAATAAAAGGGACCTGTACAACAGATTACTTCATCATTCTTTGAGAAATGGAAAGGATCACTTCAAGGGTGCTGATGAGAAAATTCTATACTGATTGGTTAAGACAACATTCCTGGGGCTCATCTTCATTGGTGGGGGGTTAACCAGAGGAGTTTTTGAGTGGGATTAAGTCTTGGCGCACTTAGCCCAACTGACTCCATTTTAGACCTGTTGTTTCTTTTTAATAGCAGTTACTGCTTACGGGAGCTACATCCCAGATTTGTGCAATGCCTAGAGCAAGAAGAGACTCCTGAAGTCACAGCAAAGGAGACATTGGTCCAGGGGTCAGAAATGTGGCTTCTGCTAGCTGACATTTTTGGACTTAGATGCTCTAAACATTAGCTTCTCTGCCTGCTTCACAGGCCCAGGAATAATATCCTCTTGAGTTGTTGGAGAAGAAGTAGTTGATGAATTTGAAAGCTCTCGGCCACCTGGAAGGTCCTCAATGTGAAAAGTCCTACATGTGTCCTCATGCAATTGTCATGATATTTATAATAATTAAATTATGTATCTCTTCCCAGATCCAGAGACAGCATGTACTCACCCACCTCCCTGAGGTAAGCTGTGCACCCCATTCCCTTTTATCTTTCTCCTTCACTTCCACGGTGCCCCTTCCACACCCCTACTCTGCACTGCTCTCCACGTTTCCACACCGTAGTCCCCAGACCTGCCTAGGTCTGCCCAGGTCCCTGTACGCGGGCCAGCTGCTCATGGACCAGGATCACTGGCAACCCTCTCCCCTTGCACAGCGGCTCTCCGTTCCCAGCCTCAGTGCAGGATCCTGGCCTTCATGTATGGCGGGTGGAGAAGCTGAAGCCGGTACCTGTAGCAAGAGAGCAGCAGGGGATTTTCTTCTCGGGGGACTCCTACCTTGTGCTGCACAATGGTCCAGAAGAGCTCTCCCACCTGCACCTGTGGATAGGTAAGGGCATTGGGGAGAAGGGGGTGGGAGTCTGTCCCGGGCAGGGGCCAGTGTTAGCATGGGTTTCATGGGCCTTGCTCTGCTGCCTCCTCAGGCCAGCAGTCATCCCGAGATGAGCAGGGGGCCTGCGCCATGCTGGCCGTGCACCTCAACACCTTGCTTGGGGAGCGGCCCGTGCAGCACCGTGAGGTGCAGGGCAATGAGTCTGACATCTTCATGAACTACTTCCCACGTGGCCTCAAGTACCAGGTCAGAGACCATCTCTTACACCTCACATTGAGGCTTCTCTCAGAGCCAGCACCTACCTTCCAGTTGATTCTTGCCCAGGGACCTTTGGGGTTGGGTCCTCCTTGCCTTTCTGCCTGTCTCCCAATGGGATGGGGTGTGCAGGGATCCAGGCCTCCCGTCAGCACACACAGACTGGCTGTCTGGGTTGCAGGAAGGCGGAGTAGAGTCAGCATTTCACAAGACCACCCCAGCGACCACCCCAGCGGACGTCAAGAAACTCTACCAGGTGAAGGGGAAGAAGAACATCCGTGCCACCGAGCGAGCACTGAGCTGGGACAGCTTCAACACTGGGGACTGCTTCATCGTAGACCTGGGCCAGGTGAGTAGCCAGGTCCAGACCGAGCCTCTGTGTGGCAGGATCAGGAGGCCAGGGAAGAGAGAGAGAAATGGAAAATCTGAAAGCTTATTCCAAGTGGGACCACTTCAGCCATTAGAAATCATTCCTGCATTTCTTTTTAAAGATTTACTTATGCATACAAGAACTGGGGTACACGCAGAGGGGTACCCCAGTTAGTGGATTCACCAGAGACACAGTGGGAACAGAACAGGCGGATTGACTGAAATACACTGCTGAGGGGAGCAGCAGGCAAGACAGGAGAGGTCTGCTGTGCCCTGTGGGCCAGCTCCCTGGCGGGGTGTGTGTGTGTGTGTGTGTGTTTAAGGGATGAAACTGTGCTGCAGTGCCTGTGGGCAGATTCCTTGTGCTGTGCTTTAACACCACCAGGGAGGCCCCCATTCCTGAATTTGTAAGGGCAGAACCTCCTTGGGCATCCAGCCATTGTCTAACTCTGGAACTTACTTCCTCCTTTTCTTGATGCCTTTGTAGCTCTCAGTTAACTGCCCATCACGCAGACCATCCACTACCATATGCATTCATGCCTTCATCCGGTGAAACCATGATGGCTGCCTAGAGCCAGCATGGGGACCACAAATTGCTCACTCTGAGGAAGTCACCTTGATGGTCATTTTACAGCCTGTCACTTGCTGTAAAATGAGGCAGGCTATAAGCAGGACGCTAAAAGTGAAGTGGCTTGTGCTGGGGTGAGGGAGAATCCTGCTACTCTGCTGAACCCTTTGTCCCAGGAAGGTGTCATTTGACTAGATCTTGTCATTCCAGGTGAGCTGAGTCACTGGGGTGGGGAAAGGTGCAGGCATGCCTGTTAACAATAAAGAAGGGTCTCCTTTGACGGGGCCCCAGGGTGGGGATAGGAGGAGAGGGAAAGAAAGTTGTTAAGGAGGGTGAGATCCAGGTCATGAGAAGGCATTCTCTGAGGAATCTAGATGCACCTTGTCCTGAGGACTTGGGGCAGAAGGTCAACCAGGGGGCAGTTTGGAAGGATTGGGAATGGTAAGATCGAGGAAGGAGGACCAGGTCAGGGGAGGTGACAGTGGCTGTGCCTGGCAGGAGATGCAGTCGGAGCAGGTGATACAGGACTCAAGGATGGCATTCACCATTCATTCATTAAGTCATTCAATAAATAATTATTTTATATACCTAGACATACGGAATCTGTTTTAGTACTAGGCATAACACAGCAAACAAAGCAAAATAGTCATGCCTTAAAAAGCTTACTTTCTGGTCTACATTATTTACTAGATGAAGAAGTTGAAATATATGCCATGGAGGAAAAAAAGCAGGGGAGACATGGGCTGGGCAGAGAAGCACTCTCGAAAGCACTGGGGTTGGGTCCTCCTTGCCTTTCTGCCTGTCTCCCAGGGGGCACTCTCCTGCCTTCTTGATTGTCTTGCCTCAGGGAACATTTCTCTGCCCCCCCTTCCTCCACCCCTCTCCCATACACCATACACACTACCAACAGGCACTGCTTCTAACCCAAGCCTCCCGCTTCCCTTCAGAACATCTTCGTCTGGTGTGGTGCAAAGTCTAATATCTTGGAGCGCAACAAGGCGCGGGACCTGGCCATGGCTATCCGGGACAGTGAGCGACAGGGCAAGGCCCAGGTGGAGATTGTCACTGATGGCGACGAGCCTGCCGAGATGACCCAGGTTGAGGGGATGTTGGGTCGGTGGCTGGGCATCCCTCAGGGAGCAGCGATCAGCCTGGGGGCATGGGCATGAAGATGTGCTGGAGGCATCTGCGGCTCATGGCTGTGGCTGGCTCAAGGGTGCTTTGGTGGATTCAGAGGACAGTGCTCCTCTGGGTGGATGGACCAGGAGCCTGGCAGGCAAGGCAGGCCTGGCCTAGCCCTCATTCACTTCTGCCAGGGGCCCTGGTGCAGGGCACAGTTTATCCCTCTAGAGGCAGTGGCCCTGGCTATGAGGGATTGGTAAGGTCCCGGGCAGGTGCTCAGGAATCCTTGGAAACCTGTTCTGTGCCGGCCTCTGCAGGTCCTGGGCCCCAAGCCCACTCTGAAGGAGGGCAACCCAGAGGAGGACCTCACAGCCGACCAGACAAATGCCCAGGCCGCAGCTCTGTATAAGGTGGGTGTCGGGGCCCGCCCTGTCTGGGCAGGGGGTGGGATCCTGATGCCTGCAGGCTGAAGGGAGAGGGGAGAGCGGTGGCAAGGTTGTGCGGCACCAGGGCCGTTGATCCAGCCCTTGAGGTGAGAGGAGAATGGTAAATGGACAATGTCAGGCCCTTTTGAGGAGATTAATGCCACTTCACACCTGCCCATTCTTAAGAGACTTGAAGCTGAACTTCATCTTTTTGAATCCTTTGTGCTTATAATTTGAAGTCCATTTAATTTCCCAGTGAAATTTGGATCTGTGTGCTGCAATGGCTGAGAGTGCTGTGTTCCCATCTGCTTCTTGGGTCAGGGATAGCGGGGAGGGGTGGGGGGCAGGGAGGCCGTCTTGTCCTTGGGTAGAGAGAAGAGCTGCATAGATGAGGTCGACCTGTCCCTGCCCATTTTCCCGCCATTCTACAGGTCTCTGATGCCACCGGACAGATGAACCTCACCAAGGTGGCAGATGCCAGCCCTTTTGCCTTTGAGCTGCTGCTATCTGATGATTGCTTTGTGCTGGACAATGGGCTCTGTGGCAAGATCTACATCTGGAAGGGTATGTGTGGCTTCGCCTCTCTAGCCTGAAGGGTGTGTGTGGCTTCTCCTCTCCAGCCTGAAGGGTGTGTGTGGCTTCTCCTCTCCAGCCCCCAGTGAGGGTCTGATTTGGACAGCTTGGGGGGTGGGGAGAGCAGCCTTCTTGCTTTCTTTCAAAGCACAGCCTCAGGGAGCCCAGATGCTCTGGGTTCTTGTGACTGAGGGTTTTCTCTTTGTTGTCCCACCTGGTAAATTCTAGACAACAGGACTGGAAACTCTAAAGTGCCTCAGAAGTACCTGGAGGCCTGTTGGAACAGATAGTTGCTTCCCCGCCCCTCCTCCCCCCTTCCCTAATTCTGAATCACCAGGTCTGGGGTGGAGCCCTAGAATTTCCCTGTCTAACAGGTTTTGGGACTTGGAGCTGATCCAGGGACCAACCACATTCTAGGACCACTGTCCTAGATCCTCCCAGACCTCCAGGGCTAACTGGTCCTTCTCTACCATGTCCTTGTGCCTTGGGGTGACAGATAAATATTAGATAAGTTAAATCTCACTTTCCACAGTGGCTAGTGAACTTGTGGGACTTGTTTTTCCCAGGGATTGTGTTACTGGAAATGGAGACTATTGTGCAGGGGCCTGTTGGTTTGGTTTGACTGAAAACGTTGAGTCAAAGCTGAGTCCTTAAGCGATGGTGGGAACCTAGAGCCTGGTTATTTCTTCACGGTTGTCTTTCCTGGATTATGTCTTCAACGCCTGACTAAATTATACATTTCTTGAAAGTAGGAACCATATTGTCTCTGTGTCTTGACGAACTAGCATTTGCTCAAATATTTGTGGTGTCAACCAAGGCCAAGAAAAATTCCTAGCTTCATCATTGTCAGAAAGATAGAGAAGCATTGGGTGGTCTCAGGAAAGCGGCTACTCGTCGTTAAGAGAGTACTGCTTTCGGGAAGGGCAGGAGCCTCAAGGCAGGTTCCTAACTGTGTGTGCTGCTGCTGGGGTTTCTAACAGTTAAAGGGTGTGTTGCAACTGGGCTGCCTCTACTCTCCTGTCATGGGACCTTTCCCCATGAAAACAATTTCAAACATAGCGGGGTTCCCAGACACCCACGGAAACATACTTTACCTCAAAGAACCAAACCATTTTCGGAATAGAAACCAGAGGAGAAAAACAGGAAACTTGGGAGCTGGGAGAAGTAACCCCCCCAGGGCAGCTGTGTGTCACAATTCATCAGTTAACTTGAGCTAACATGGGAACGGTGGGGTTTTTACAGCTTGGCAGAAGAGCCAACCACAGTGCACAACATTGTCTCCTTGGGAAAAACACCTTGAACTGGAGCACAGTTGGTGCTCAAAGGCCGGTCTGTAGGAGGGAGGGAGTGGGTGGCTGTGGCTTCCTCTCCTAGGCTTAGCTGGCACAACCAGAACCTGGCTAGCTGGCGTTGTAAGAGTAAGACCATAGTAAATTACACCCTTTTGTCCTGTTTTGATTTATAAAAGCTTGATAACAGTATAGATGAGGCTTATGGTTTCCTGTGGGGGGGGGGCGAGGAGGGTGTAAGGGGAGCTTTGGGAACCGGCTTTAGTAGACGCCAGGGATGGCACTACTTCTCCCTGATGTTCCTGGGGCTCTGGGCTGAGCAGGTTTTGATGATTAGAGTAGGCAGACGAGCAGTTATCATCTGGTGTGGAGCTTCCAGGTCGGGATTCCTCAGGGCCTGACTGTAGACCTCCAACGACCTAACGCCTCAGCGTCCTTAGCATGTCCTGGTTTGTTTATTTTAAAAGTTGCCAGTTATTCTGTGGACCCGCTTACGTTTCCTTGGGGAAAATAGGATGTAGGCTAGAGAGAGCACCTCCTCTTTTTTAAAAAAATCTTCCTTTGCACCAGGGCGAAAAGCGAATGAGAAGGAGCGGCAGGCGGCCCTCCAAGTGGCCGAGGACTTCATCTCCCGCATGCGGTACGCCCCGAACACTCAGGTGAGGACGCACCCAAGAACCCAAACCCTCGGGGTTCCTGCTGTGGGCTGATAGACTCACAATGGAAAAGAGGGGCAGGAGAGCTTTGGGCTTTGGGAACCATCAGGCCTCTGTGCTAGACCCACCAAGGGTGAATGGCCTCAGTTCCACAAAGTTTTAAAAGCACCATTTTTAGAAGGAAGCCGGGCATCACTCCCCTGAAACTCGGGGCTGGTGTGCCCTTGAGTGGTCCATGCTTCTCCACTGGGCCTCTGTCCCTAGCTGGCTCCAGGCCTTCTTGGCCCCTGGCATTGCGCTCTACAAGCTGTGACGAGGCGTCTCTACTCCGTGCCTCCACCCAGCGCAGCACCTGCGTCTTTGAGCCGCCTGTTTTCTCAGCCGGTGTCTCCGTGATCTTCTCGCGTGTTGGCTCCTCCAGACAACGCTGTCTCTGGCCTGGACAGCACGAGGACTCAGGCCTGGTGCCCAGCGCCCTCCTCACGGCGCAGGCTCTCGCGTCTCCCTGGCACAGGGGGAGGTGGCCCGCCTCCGAGCCAGACTTCTCCCTTCTGTCCCCGCAGGTAGAGATCCTGCCCCAGGGCCGCGAAAGTCCTATCTTCAAGCAATTCTTCAAGAACTGGAAATGAGAGCGAGTCCCTCTGCTCTCACCACCTGCCTCCTCCTTCCGCTTGTGGTCAGTGCTGAGGAATCCCCCTCAGATGCCCAATAAAAAAGACAAGAGCTTTGCCCGCTCTGCCTGCACTACCTAATTCTCACTGCCTCGCCTTTCGCTGGGCCCCTTCCGGTGCTGGGATGGAGGAGGACACAGATGACGATTCTACAGCCTCCGCGGGGCCAGAGCTGGTTGGTGTGGTTGAAGCAGAGGGGACAGGCATTCCCTCGGACCTGGCAGGTACTGCTGTGAACCCAATAGCGAGGTGGCACAGTGCCAGGTGTCAGGATCAATTTCAGTCAGGGCTTCAGTTCGGTCTCACATTCCCAAAAGGGAGATGGTTGTATGGCAGCAGGCTTGGGATGCCTCTCCACAGAAGCCAGTATTTCCTCAGATGCCCCAATAAACCATCTCAGGGCACTTCTTGCTACCATGCCAAAAGACAGCTTCTTGTTCCCTAGGCCGGGGGCCTCACCTATTTGCCTGGTAAGCCCAGGACCAGCATAGGACTATAGGAAAAGCACTGACTAGTGTTGAGACTCATGGGCTGTGGCTCTCACCATATCCCCGTTTTATCCCGGGAACATACTTTTTCTGAGTGTCAGGCCTTAGTTTACCTTGTGTATTGGGGTGGTAGACAGCTAATGAGGGGGAGAATGGAGTAGCCCCAGAGCAGTCCCCTCTGGAGGGCATGATCCCAGGGAGTCAAAAGCAAGGTGGGAGCTGTGTAAACCTGGGCCAGAGCCTTTGAGGCCTGGCCATCCTGATCTACCCTCACCCAGGACCGAAAGGCTGTGTGACTTCTGAGCTCTGACACACTGGATGTTTCCATCCCCAATGAAATGCTGATCAAACTGATTTCGTGCCAGAAGTATAGAAATCAGTCGCTCGAGTATCCTTCCTTCCCTTTCCTCCAGACGACTCCTGGCCATTCACCTGACAGCCCCTGAAAGCAAGCACTGGGGTGGTTTTTAAAAGGGGAGAGTGAGAGTTGCACTCAGTCCATGGTTCTGACATCTTTAGGGTTGTGAATCATTTTAAGTGTTCCACGAACGGCTTAAATAGGTCTTCCCCAAGAAAAATACAGATTGAGATTTTGGCACCTACTTGCAGAGGATTTTGGCATCCCTTCCCCAAGCAGTCCATCAGCAGAACCATAACTGAACTCCAGACTGTTGGTGTGAATGTCCCAAGGTCTGGACTGAGCTGTCTGGAGAGAACTGGGAGAGAGAACTGGGGAAGAGTGGAAGGATCCTGCAGAGGCCACTGGCAGCCTGTCCAGGTGTATGGTCCCTGACTGACGATGGGCTGGGCATTCAGCTGGGTCCCATGGGTTAGTCTTTTGTCTCAGAGCAGGAAAAAGGGACTTGTGGGGGAAAAAAACACCGAACTTGACAGCCCCCTGCATTCCAACTCACGGGAGAAGTCATACCTGCTGCCATCGCTGTTGGTCAGCCCAGGGACCCATCAGGACAGCAGGGTAGACAAAAGATTAGTTCAGTTTGGGTAAAGATGACACAAGGCAAATTGCTGGACCCACGGGTAACACCCTCCTCCGCCTTGAGGCATCCTGCTGACAGCAGCTGGGAGTTTCTTTCCATACTTGGGTCACCATCTGTTGTCACCATCTCTGTGATGGGCCCAATGGGCGAGGCTTACAGAAACTATAGACAATGGTGCTCCAGGGTGCAGCTTGAGGGTGTCAAAAGGACTGGGCAGCAGCAATAACAAGGCTCACCTGCTCCCTGCTCTCAGCTCTGCCTATTTACCTGAAGGACCTTTTGCGAAGGGAACAAGAATCCGCTTCCCCAGGAGCAAACTGCAGGAAAAAAACCTGTCCACTCGTGTCACACGAGTAGATGTGAACACGAGCTGGGGCACCTACCGGATGGTGAGAACTGCAAGGAGTCCGAGCATGCCGGGGCAGGGGGATATAGGGTGAGCCCAGCAGGAGGCTCCTCCTGGAGCCCAGAACCGGGGCCATCGCCCACTGCAGGGCCTGGCTCTCACCAGGCCCCGGGACAACACGGTCACAGAAGGCTGCAAGGCTTGTCATGGATGCAAATACTTGAGATCCTTAACCTAATTCAATTTTATTCAAAAACTGCTGGTGTGTGCATTTCTGCCTTCCCTTGAGCAGGCCAGAAAACCATCCCTAATGGGAACTGCACAACTTCCACCGGACAGGAGGACTGGTGAGAGGTGAGGGTGGGGTAAATACAAGGCAGAAACCTGGGCAGGGGTTCTGATCCTGGCCCTGCGGACAGACAGGAAGGCAGGCTCAGCCAGCAGCAGCGGCAGGTGGCTTGCCTGGTTGGTGCTGCCCCCTGTTGGTGGCTGCCTCTACTGCCTCTTCGTTTCTAACTACATACCCTGTCCTGCAGACACCAGGGGTCTGAGGGCCCCTGCCAGGGATCAGAATTCTGGTGCCTTTCCTGGGGAAAACCCTTTAACATCGGGATACACGGTACACCCGGGGGTGGGGCTTGATCCACTTGCTCCTTGAGAGGACCTGGAAGCTACAGTCCAACTAAGATTAGGGCAAAATTCTCCTTGCTCTGGAGACAAGACTATGGGGAGTGGGTCAGCTCACCACCCCTAACGTCTCATGTATAAGGGTCCGTGGCTCCCCAGACTATGTCCCTATGTCCCGTCTCTTCTGCTGAGACTGGCAGCTGGCCCAGCCAGGGTGCTCCTGACATGGCTTGCATGTGCCTTCTGAAAGGCCCGGTGGCACGGCCTTCCAGTCCATCAGTCAGCCTCCGGGGTTGGTCAGATCAGCCGTGTGCCTTCCGACGAGTGCGGCAGCAGGTCGCACACACCTGTGAAGGTGAGGTCCTTGGAGTGAGAGGCTTGTGGCCCATTGCTCTTGTGTGCTCCCAGCAAGGAGGCTTGTCCCTTTGATGCTCCTGCCAAGTAGATCTCCAGGGTCTTGAGCAGCCGCCTTGGGCTCTTCTTGGCCAACACTTCCAAGTCTAGGATAGAGAGGATGGGGAACCAAGGGCTTGTTAGGGTTTTGAACTGCAAAATAGGGTCTCAAATCTAGCAGCTCTAGGGAGAACCCCCAACCCATGCCATGGAGAGAAGGTAAAGGAGTCTTTCCTGTGGACCCCTTACACCAGTCAATCCTAACAAGATCCAGCTCTCCCTTGCCCACCGGTGGGAATCTCTTGTCTGGTGGAAGTTGTGCAGTTCCCGTTAGGGATGGCATTCTGGCCTGCTCAAGGGAAGGCAGAAATGCACATACCAGCGGTTTTTGAATAAAATTGTATTCTAGTGCAAGATGGATGAAGGGTGAACCCAATGGGAGTCTGGCCAAGACAGAGTGCCTTCTCTCCTGAGCACGCACCAGAGCGGTGACTGAGGAACCAGAGACTCTGCTCACCCTGCTCAGCGGAATCTCAACTTTGACTGGTCAACCCAATAGCTAGACCCCCCAGCTTTTGATTCCAAAGTACTATCACCAAAGGTGTAAGCCCAGAAAGGGAGGAGAGGGACTGGCAGGCTGCAGAGGGTGCCCTGGCAGTGACTCTGGGAAGTGGCCTTTGACAAAGAGTTAGGCGGGAGGGGGCGACCGGCAAAACCAGGCTGGCCTCCACGCTGGGGCACTAGGCCTCCCAGAAGGAAAAGCACACCTTTGAGGACAAAGCCTGAGTCGGAGATGGTCTTCTGCTGCGTCCTCCAGACATGTGCCAGACGGAGGAAAGTGGCAGCGTAGAAGCTGTTCACCACCGGGATCACCTTCTGCTGCCGATTACACTCCCTGCGGACCGGGGAAGGGGCCTGCTCAGCAGGGGACAAAGGTTGACACCAGGTGGCCTCCCACCCTATTCCCCCAGGGGAGCCATTTCCCTTCACCTCTGAGGTGAGGGTTGCTGAATTAGGCTGGGACAATGGTGGGGAGGGACAGGGGATGGGGACCAGGCTCTGGGACTCTCTATCAGGAGTGTGGGGACTTACCTGGAGAGACACTCCTCCCTTAAGGCCTGGATTGTGATGCGGGTGATATTCACAGACATCAGACAGAAAGGGAATTGCTGGAATGGAGGAGGGACGGGTCACTGCCCGCCTTCTTCCTTTCCCGTCATGCACCACCTGGCAGTACCCATGGGCAAGATGGCAACCGCAGCACAGATGCAGCAGCCAATATTTCTGATGCTTATAGTTAACTTTTACTATAATTTTCTTTCCACATTCCAGATGAGGAAACGGACCCCAATGAGCAAGATTCCAACAGAGGCCAAATGACTCCAAAGCTGTGCATTCCCTCTAGGCTAGTGCTGTAGGCTCTTCAGAACCATCTGCTCTCTATGGCCCAAGCCTGACCTGCCCTGGGTATAGCCCGGGCACCATGTCACCACCAGGGTCTACAGATGAACACAGCTCAGTTATCGAACCCTACAGGCTCCTTCCAGGGCCTCGCTCCTTCTCAGGTTCCTGGTGGTTAGCTGCCTGTAAGCACTTCTTCCAGAGCCAGCCAGGTACAAGTGCCTTCCTGACACTCCCCATCGCTCACTAATGCAGAGCTCTGAGAACTGGCCCTGAAGGTCAGACTCCAGAGGGCTGCATGGGGCCCAGAGGGGTGCCTCACCAGGACAGGCTTCAGAATATGGGGTGTGCTGTATTGCTTTATTTTTTGAACAAAATTGTTCCCTCTTCTTTAATAACAAGAAATCAAGGAATGAAAGGGTTTCTTCCAGGGAATTTGCTGCTGCACATCCACATGGACACCCGCTCAGAGGGACATGGAGATCGATGTGTTCCTTGGTTTAGGACAATGTCTGACACTATCTCATCTGCTTCCTTATGAGAAGAAAAATCTGTCACATTATGATATAGAACTCTACCTCAGGATGGAAGCAACTTGCCACATTTAGCTATTTGAATTAATTAAACATTAAGTAAAATGAAAAATTCACCTCCTTAAACATTCTAGTCACATTTTAAGAGTTCAACAGCCTCTTGTGCTTAGCTGCCAAGTTTTGAACAGCGCAAATAGAGAACATTTCGTTACGGTAAAAAGTTTTATCTGACAGTGCTAGACCAGAAAGAATCTTCTGGCTTCAAAAGATTTTTCAGTCTTGCATGACACCCAGTTCTACAGCTGCCGAGGCTGCCTGTTACTCATGAGTGCCAGCAATCACAGGCATCTACCCATGATGCCTTTTGGCTGCTCAGAAGCACCATGAACGCAGAGCCACAGTCCTCTCTTCCGGCTTCCCCCCAAAGCCCCACCTGGATATGGTGATGAGACAGGCGGAAAATCTCCTGAGCCATCAGTAAAGTCTTTGAGTCCATCACCAGGTACAGCAGGTGCAGGAGGGCGAGGAAGCCTGCCCCTCTCAAGTCTGTGCCTGGGTTTGCTCCTGTAGCAGAAACCCGGAGAAGGAGGGATGGTGAGCAATCCCAGCAGGAGCCCCCACTCCCGTGAGCTCCAAGGACTTCGTTTCCTTGGTCACTAGCCAAGTGGGATGCCTAGATTTCCACCCTTCCTGGGTTGTAACAAGGCATCAGTATGGCAGAGAAGTGAGAAGCTGCGACTTCTGCCCCTTCCTGTGCTAAGAAGCCTTCTACAGACTCTGCGGTACCAGTGCACATTCTGTGGGTGCCATAATGAGGCTCCCCTGCCTCTCCCAGTTAGGGTGTCAGTGGAGGCCAAGTTCCACCCCCATCTGGCAGTAAGGTAGTGACATCCCCCTTCCCCACTGGCTTGGTGTCAGAAGAAGCTAAAATAGAACATTGACAGAAGATCTAGAATTTCATTGCATAATACCAAAAATGTCTGGATACAACTGATAAACCACTTGTTAGTGGGGAGGGAGCACAGTGGATTATGGTGGTGGACCATGCCTGCTTTGGTGGAGGGTGCAGTGTGGTAAGAATACCTGAAGGGGGCAGTCCTATACTCTGAAATAAACAATCATATAAACCAGTGTTACCTCAATTAATAACAACAGCAACAACAACAATCACTTGTTACAGCAAGAACTAGGAAGAAGAAACAAGTAATATTTCATAGCATATCAATACCAAAATAATACAGATACTAGATTTATTGACAAGGATTTTAAAGCAGCTGTCACAGGCAGAATAATGCTCCCACACCCTTTAAAGACATCCATATCCTAATCCCCAGAACCTATCAATATGTTATATTCATGGCAAAAAAGGATATTAAGATTGCAGATAAAATTTAAGTTACTGATCAGCAAATAGGGAGATTATTCTGGGTTTTGTGGGTGGGCCAAACATAATCAGAAGATCCTTAAAGTGAAAGAGGGAAATAGAAGCTAAGCGTTAGAGGAGATGTGAGGGTAGAAACAGGCTCTGAGAAGGGCTTTGAAGGATGGCAAGTCGATCCTAGGGAATGGGTTTTTTTCCTAGAGCTTCTGGAAAGGAATAGGGCCCTTGATACAGTGGCCTTCCCCAAGTGCGACCTGTGGCAGATTCCTGAAGTATAAAACTTGAATGAGTCTTTGCTGTTTTAAGCCACTAAAATTGTGATAATTTGTTGCAGCAACAACAAAAGCTAATGTGAGGCCTCCCTGGTGACACAGCGGTTAAGTCTAAGCACTATCAAGCTATCACCAGCCACTGCAGCATGAGTTCGATCCCAGTCACGGAGCTGACCCACATGGCACAGCAGACCTCTCCTGTCTCACCCACTGCTCCCCACAGTGCATTTCAGTAAATCTGCCTGTTCTGCTTCCCACTCTATTTCTAGTGAATTCTCTCATCCTCCCTCACCTTTAGCCTACACCCCAGCTCTTATATGTATAAATAAATTTTAAAAAATCTATTGTAGCTCAAATGCTTTGAGAGGAAATTATAAACACACTTGGAAAAAAACTGAAAACTTCAGTAAAGGACTATCAGATATAAAGAAACAAGCAGCAATTTTAGATCTTAAAAATATAAAACTAAAATTAAAAACTAAGTGGGTGGGCACAACAGAATAGAAACAGAGGAAAGAAGCAATGAATGTGAAGATGAAGCAGTAGAAATGGTTACCACTCCTGAACAATAAAGAAAAAAAAAACCCAAAGCATTAGAAATCTGTGAGCTATAAGAAAAATCCACACCCTCCCCCCCCAAAGGACAGTGTCTAGGGCCTGTGGAATAACAAATATCTAGCATTTATGTTAGGAGGGCTCCACAGGAGAGATGACGGGACAAAAGTGAAAAGTTACTTGAAGTAATAAAGCTGAAGATGACAGCATTCAAAGGGACTTAGGTGTGCTGATAACAACAGACTTCCAATTAATTATGAATAGTTTCCTTCTTAAATTAAGCTCTACTTTCCTATTTTGTATGAGTGATTTGTATGACATTTAAAAAAAAGAATAGCACAATCCCAAGACAGGTGAAATCATTTCATTTCACTCAATAAATACAACAAAATTTCCTATTAAAAGAGGAAAAAGGAAAAACTAGACTCCAAATCCTATCACTCATTATTGCATCTCATTTACAGCAGAGGTCTGACAAAGGCTCCCGGGGCCACAGTAAGCTTTCTCCCTGTCACTCTCTCTACTCAGTCACACCTGCTGTTTCTCAGTCAGTATGTACCACCTTCGGGGCTCCAGCAATTACTGTACCCTCTTCTGGAAGGCCCCTGACCCCCTTCCCGTCTCATGGTGCTGTCATGACTAGAAAGGGATATCTGGACTCTCTAGAGGCCTGTAACCAGAAGACAAGCCATGCCTCTCTTACCCTGGAAGCCCAGATCTTCCCAGTGCTCTCCATGAAGGGCACAGTCAAACTTGGAGCCAGTCAGCTTCCTGTAGATGGTCTGGAGAACTCGGCCATGCATTGGGTCTTGGCTATCCAGGCCACCTGTCCCAAAACACCCACATTCTCGATATGGTGATCCCTCTGGGCTCCTCAGAAAACAGATCAACCAAGATAGATGTGAACAGTGCCCAAGGCACCCCGTTCTCCCATACTGTCATGCCCCTCAGCTCCTGCTCTTCCTCCCACTCCCACAGGGTGGGCAAACATGCTCTCTGCCCTTCTGTGGGCTGCCTCATGGCAACGCCATGTACTCACACTGAGCGATGGTTAGGACCAAGTCCCTTTCCTCACAGAGGCCCTGATGGAGCTTGGGAGGCCCGAAGAGGCGGTGTCGGAGGGCAGCGAGCCCGGTCCTTCGAATAGTTGGCTGGATTCTTTTCTGGGAAGAAAGTTGCAGGTAATGAAAGAGCAGAATGTTGAATTTCTCCTTAGTGAACTCACTCTCATGCTCAGTACAGGGCCTTGCAGAAATAGTTTCCCCAAAAAACTGGCTTGTCCTGGGCCACAGGGAGAGGGTAGAAGCTGTGGAACACCTGCTGCATTTCTGCAGACAAGCTCTTCTGGCTCCCAGGTTCTTTGTAAGCAGAAAAAAATGTATTGAGTGGGCTTCTCTGGTGGCGCAGGGGTAGAGTCTCAATGCTATCAAGCTATCACCAGCCACTGCGGCATGAGTTCAATCCCCGGTTAGGGAGCTGACCCAGATGGCGTGGCAGACCTCTCCTGTCTCACCTGCTGCTCCCTTCAGCAGTGTAGTTCAGTTCACCTGCCTGTTCTGCTCCCTACTCTGTGTCTGGTGAGTTCTCTTATTCCCTGTGCACCTGGCCTATACTCCAGTTCTTCTATACATAAATAAAACAATTTTTTTTTTTTTAAAGAAAGATGTCTCCAGGGATAGGCATTATCAGCTAGTCAGCCAGTTGTATGCATTTGGCCCTTTGGACTTTTCCAGAAGTAGCTAGAGGTGACTAGTGACTGACTCCCAAAGAGGTTAGCTTTGAGGACCACCCCCATCAACACCACCATGCAGCCTGATGAAAACGAGGGCAGGTTTCCCAGGAGAGCAGCTTCTACTTTTTGTATGCCTTGTATCTCTGTAAAGGACATACATTATAGAGTATTGTAGCCCCTCAACTTCCAGGGAGAGAGGTAGCGGAAAGGCAGAAGGTGAATGAGGATTTTTGGAGCTAGGTACGTCTGAGAAGTGGCTGGAGCCTTCTATCCACATTATGACCAGCGTTCCATCAGCCAGGTCACGCTTCCTTCTCATGGCCTACTATTACAGGTCTTAGAATTTTTTATTTTGGTAGCTGCTGATTCTCTGGGTTGTAGAAACTAAAATGATTCCTGTTTTTTAAGCTTCTAGAGTCAGGTTTTAGTTTGAATCTCTAAAATCACATTCACTAAATTTACTAGCGGTCCCTCAAGAAGCCTCAGAAAGCTTGCTAGACTTTACTCTCCTCAAAAATTCCTTCTTTTTCCAACCACACTTATTTTTAAAACTTCTAAGTAGCTCTGGTCCTTGAAAGAATGAAATATTTCTCCACATCAGTCAAACAGCTCTCCAAGGAATGACCCAACATTTGATTCCACACCTCTGCTTCCCTAGGAGAGACAAGCGGGGGGAGCCACATGGACCTCTGTATGACAGGGCCACAAAAGGTCTGGGGACACAGTCTCAGAAAGGCCACTGAGGCACTGCCTGGCGCGTGGGTCCTTGGTTACCCATAATGCTGTGCTTCAAGATTTCCTAGATGAGATGGGGTCCTCAACTGGAAGCATCCATTCTGCTTGCCCAGTGTCCCATCTGGTAGGCCAGAGACCTGGGTCCTGGGAAGGTGCTTTGCCTGAGATCCCAAACTCCTTGCTGTCATACCTTGAAGGAGGAGAGGTCCACAGTCTGGAAATGATGTAGCGCCTCACTGAAGGAGATCAGCTGCCCAGGCTGGTCTGAGCTGGCCTGATTCCCTGTGGCAAAAGTGAAGACACTCAGGATGGGTGGAAGTCACGCTACAGCAAATGTTTGCGAAGGGCCTTCTGACTGTCACCTCTCTGCAGACACTAGCGTCCTATACAAACCTCAGATGCCTACAGCCACATCAATCCTCTTTCAAAGGGCTGCTGTAATCTGCTGGGCTGACCCCCTTTTTAGAATGCACTGCCCAGAAACTCGCTAGGCCGACTTCTGCAGTGAGCAGGCGCAGCTCTGCCTGCAGGGTCTCTCTAAATTCCACTCCTTTGTGAGGGGCAGGTCACTGCCTGGAGTGGGTACTCATGGAGAGCAGGCCCTGGCTTACAGGCCTGTCCGACTTTCTTCTTTGCCCCTTCTCACACCCTGGACGTGAAATCCTCTCTTCATCTTTTGTCACAATCCACAGGGAATTAGCTTCTCAGTTAGCAATGTGGGTGATGGCTGATACAGTCAGTTCAAGTGGGAACTAGGCTACATACGGCTCCTACTTCTATCCTTCTATTGTTCCATCCAAACCTCTGAAGGGTGAGACAGTTTTTACAGTCTCAGAGCCTTCCATTCTTATTTCCAGGGACTTCACAGTGAAAAGCTATTTAACCTTATGTAGGGGGCCTGGCTCCAGGCTTCACCCCAATCTCCTTTCCCCACAGAAGCTGCCCCTGAATGAAGTCTGCCCTGTTTTCTCTCAGGGCTGGGTAGATGCAGCCCTTTCTTCACGGCATATATTCCCACTTCCTCCAGAGACAGAGTGCTGCTGTCTTTGCATTTGGAGAGGAGATTTTATTCTAAGTCACACAACTAAAATGAGGAGACCCAGGAATTCTTTCTCCTAATGCAGAGTGACAGAAACATCAGCCACACATGGGGATGGCCTTTACGCAGCTGGGCTGAGGGCGAGCGCTCCATGCCTGCCCTTACCTGTCTCTGGCAGGATGCTGTCCACGGCCTCCCATTCTTCTTGGGCTCTGAGCACCTCTGTACTCACAACTGCAAGCGAGAAAAGGAGACTCTTTGAGACGCAGGTGTGTCTGGATCTTTGCTGCAGCCCCCAGCCTCGTCTGCCCACCTTGGGTCTTGTGGCCCTCCAACACCCTCTTCACACAGCTGCAAAGTGACCTTTTCAAAGCAGATCTGATGTCATCCCCCTGCTCAAAACCCTCCAGGGATTTTCCACAACTCTCAAGACAGAGCCCAGACTGCAGCACAGCACCTAAGTACCTCGAAAATCTGTATCCTTCTTCCCTCTCTAGCTCTGCCCTGGGGCATACAGAACAGCCTAAGCTTGCTGCACCTCCACTGGCGTTGCACAAGCAGTGCCAGCACCAGGTGCTCTGACCCTCAGTCCCAGTCTGCTGCAGTACTTCTACCCTCAGCCCCTCACCTGGGCGCCTTCTCTGAGCTCATTAGTCAGACAGGGAGGGATCCTCCGGGACACTCTGACTCCCAGTGCTTATCCCAGCCAGCGCCTAAACTGCCTCTCCCCTGCACAGCAGTTAACGAGGGTGGGGTCCGCACGACCTAGTGCAGCAGGTGTTTGGCGTGCTCAACAAATGTTTGATGCATAAACAAAAGCACACATGCGAAAGGGGGAAAAAGCAGCCAAGTAGGTTCTTTAGAGTCACCACACATCACCACACAGCCCTTCTCTCCAAACCACAACTGCTGCTTTCTAGTTCAAACTGCCAGAGGCATATCCTGTCACTTGACTTTTCTGATTCCCTACAGAGAACACCAACAAGTCACAAAGAAGGGCGGAGAGACTTCAGTTCAATGTCAAAACTTGTGACCCCTCCAGCCTCAAAGGAAAAGTATTTTAGGACAGCTTGTCTTTGCCTTGCCAACTTGGCTGAGGACATCACATGACAATAAACTACTTTGAAAGCGTACTTGCAAATTCAATAATGCCACCCCAAACTCATAAGCCTGTGGATAAAAAGGAAGAGAGAGCTGTTGGAAAAGAGTAGAGACAGACACTGAAAGCACACTCCAGAAGCCAGCTGCTTGTGAGCCTTTCATTTCCACCATTTCCTAGCTGTGTTTTTTTTGGGGCAATTATTAACCATCTGTAATCATCCTGGCACTGTAGTGAAGACGGTGTAAGATGGGCTACGTGGCTCAGAGGTCAGTACTCAATACATGCTGGCTAGTATTACTGACACAGGTGCGCACTGGGGTCCAGCAGGGCAGTGGGCAGTGGTAGCAGGTGAGATGGGTCCAGGGTCCTAAAGTTTGGACCTTCAGGAAATTCAATCTCACAAACTTGAAACTCTGGATGGGCAGCAAACACTACACATCAGGGCTTCCAGGCTACATAATTTCTTTTTTTATTTTAAAGATTTATTTATTTATTCATACAGAACTGGGGTACAGGCCAGAGGTGCAGGGAGTGAGAGGATGCACCCGAGACAGAGTGGGGAGCAGAATAGGAGGACTAACTAAAATACACGATTGAGGGGAGCAGCGGGCAAGACAGGAGAGGTCTGCCATGCCACGTGGGTCACCTCCCTGGCTGGGAATTGAACTCGTGCTGCAGCCACTGTGGATAGCTTCATAGTGTTGGTTTAACCCCTTGTGCCACCAGGGTGGCCCCAGGCTAGATAATTTCAACAGAATCCAGAACCTTGACCTTAGAAGAATGAGATTGTTTAGTATGATTAAAAATGTCTGGCAAGCCCTCTCTGGTGGTGTGACAAGTCAAAGCACAGCAGTATGAAGCTATCACAGCATGATGTTCGATCTCTGGCCAGGGAGGTGATCCACAAGGCGCGGCAGACCTCTCCTGACCCGTCCACTGCTCCCCTCGGCAGTGTACTTCTTCAATCTGCCTGTTCTGTTGTGCTCCCCTCTGTTTCTGGTGAATCCTCTCACCACCTTGCACCTCTGGCTTGTACCCCCATTCTCGTATACATAAACAAATGAATCTTTTTTAAAATGCCTGGCAAATAAATGCCAGTTGTGTGGAAGTATAAAATATTTTGACATTGAAGACAAAATCACAAAGAAATATTAAGTTTGTCATCACATAGTGAAAACAAACTTCCATTAAAAGAAACTTCATAGCCTTGCAAGTGATTTTCCTACATTAAAGTATTTTCTTTCTAACAAGACCCATATTTTGGAGATTTCCTTTTCAGTGTGCAGAATTTAAAGAGAGCAATACATTGCAAAGAGCATGCACTGTAACTCATATTCAGACTGCTAAGCACTTACATTATCTCATTTAATTCTAATAAAATGATACAATTACTCTCATACAGACTCTGACAGAACGCCTGTTTTATAGATAAGGAGAGTTAGTAACTTGCTCAAAGTCATGTATGGAGGGTGAGAGCCCCAAAGGGGACCTTACCGCCTGGCTGCCATCCATTAGCTTCGGTTGTCAGGGCCTGAAGGACTCCATGGTTCTTCAACTCTGAGATCTGTAAGGGCAGCTGACCTTAGTGAGAGGGAGAAATCCACATCCCTCCCTCCTCACGAACACGACAAACTGTCTGCAGGTCCCACCCACTGTAATGGTGTCCTTGAAACGGAAAGCCAAAAGTTAGTCTTCCTTGATGGGCCGACTAAAGCCAGTCTAAAAAGAAAATCACTTGGAAAACAACTGTGACGTATCCTTTGGGGGCCGGGGGACAAGTGCAGGCCCTCCCTGAACAGTAAACAAACCAAATACACGCAACACAATCGAGACTGTGGCGTGCTGTGATCTGCCCCCGCGTTTTATATGTATGTTCCCTGTCTCGTTATAACAAGAATCTTATTAAACAAAGGTTGCTTGCGTGTTTGTGCCCTATACGCCTCATGCTGAGGCCAAGGTGGATGCTGGTCGGGTGCCCAGTGCCTGGCACCCCCAGCCGCCTGCCACGAAAGCTTGCATTGCAGGAGGAGCTGGGTGGGAGCAGCACGTGCCGGAATTCCTCGGAAGGCCAGAAGAGCACCGGTGTCCCTGTCAGGTGGTGGAGAGCAGCGGGCAGACACATGTTCAGCCTGTAAGACAAACCAAAGATCAAAAAGTGTCGACATACTGTTGGTCAGAGAGCCCCGAATTATGACACGGGCAAGTAAACTGCTCCCATCTTTAGCATTTTACAATAGCAGAAAGTTCCAGACAAGCTCGGTAAGTTTTGGGCCTCCAGTCGCATTCTAGGAATTTACCTAACAGATACATTCACCTATGTGCAAACTGTCATTCATTTTACTTATGGTGTCATTCACTTAAGTACTGTTGATAATAGCAAAAGGTTGGAAAAACCTTAAGTGTCTACTAATTAAATCAATGAGAGCATAGTCACTCCACGAATTTTTACATAGCCATAAAGAGGAGCAGAAACTGCTTCATGGACAATATGTAGCAATCTTAATGAGATAGTAGTAAAAGAAACATAGGGCAGCATATATATGCTATTTACCACAGCATTTCCTTAAAAATGCAGGAACATAAAAATATGAACAATGGGCCCTCCCTGGTGGCGTAGCAGGTTAAAGCACAGCACTCAGAAGCTAAAGCAACTTCAGCATGTGTTTGATCCCTGCCCCAGAGGTGACCCACATGGCGAGGCAGACCTCTCCTGACCCGCCTGCTGCTCCCCTCAGCAGTGCATTTCAGTACATCTGCCGGTTCTGCTCCCCTCTGTACCTGGTGAATCCTCTCACCCCCCACACCTCTGGCCTATACCTCAGTTTGTATATATAAATAAATAAATCTTAAAAAAACAAAAACAAACACAATGTGGGGCTGCACTGATCTTTCACTTACTCCTCCAAGCTCCAAAGCCCTTCTGCGTGTAAAACAAGTTCCTCCGCAAGAGATCTCTCTCTCCAATCAGGCTCTGCTGCTTTAAGCACAGGCCCTTCTCTTATATGTCCTACAGCCATCAGCAAAGTAATAGGCACAAAGTATGTTTTTGTCAGTCACAAATCATCATGCTGTATGATTATCTCAATAGTTGCAGGGAAAGCATTTAACAAGGCTCTGGAACAACTCTCAATTAAATGCAGATAGAGGAATACACATCAACATAATAAAGCTATGTATAACAAACCCACAGCTAACATTATACTCAATGGTGAAAGCTGAAAGCTTTGCCTCTAAGATCAAGTAAAGACAAGGACGTCCACTCTCACCATCGTACTGGAAGTCCTATCTGGAGCAATTAGGCAAGAGAAAGGAATAAATGGAATCTAAATTGGAAAAGAAGCAAAACTACCACTATTTACAGAGGGCATAATAATATATATAGAAAACCCTAAAGACTACTAAACTACTAGAAACAATAAATCAGTAAAGCGACAAGATACATAATCAATATACAAAAGTCTGCCGTTATCCATCCTTTCTCAACGTGCTGAATTAGTTTTCTTTGATACAATTCGAAAGAGGGTTGTTTTCTTGATTTCTTTTTCAAGTTCATTCTTTATACATAGGGATACAACAGGCAAAAAGATGAAACTAGACCTATTTCATACCATAAACTTGTACAGTGATATGTCTTAATTATTTAGCAATAAAACTAGAAAACAAAAGATATGTTCTCAAAAATATTTGATGATTCATGTTCTGAACAACACTCTGCAGGGACTGTGTACATAGGACTCATTTCATCTTTTCCTTCTTCCTTTCCCTCTCCAATTTAGTCCCCCAGGTGTTCAAAGACTTCCCTCAGGAAGAACACTTCACCTATCTTATTACGGTGAAGAAAACTTTGTCCCATTTCTGGCCCCTGATTCTGACAAGACCATTCCTGGGCAAGACTATTCCTCAGGAAGGAATGCAGGGTTTTCTAGCAGGTTGGCTGGCACAAATCCATCGCACTGAACCTTGCAAGAGTCTGAGGGTAATCAGGCCCGAACAGGTATCTGACAAAAACCGGGCCAGTGACGTAAACAGTCTAAATCAATGAATTACAGATTTCTCACTGCAACTCTCCTCCCATCCAAGCAAATCCCAAACAAAATCCCATGACACACTTAGAAAATAAGATACTAGGAAAGGTAGCGAATCCAAAGGTAAACAGAAGCTTCTAGCAACAAGAACTATAGTGAGGGCTTTCCACACATTTCTAAGGCTCCACATTCTCTTGAAAAATTCTGTCTTATTATTACTGTTAACAATATACCTCAAACCAACACATTCTTCCCCAAATAGAAGTGCTTCCTTACCTGTCCATTAGTTAATTCTTTCTCCTTATGGAAAGAGCAAGATTCTTCATTCATGACTCAAAATCATTTGTTCAAGTGAGCTTTGTCCTGGGGCTCAGAGAGAATTTGAATAACATCTGAGATCAGGAGCTATGGGAAGAACCACAGCTCTACCTCTGCCTTCCTTCCTGGCAGTTATTCAGACTAAGAGCAAGAAAACAGTCCCTTTGTGCCATCACCAGGGTAAAGGAGGTTTCTGTGAGTATTGAAAGAAGTCCCTGAGGTCTCTGAAGCCTCAGCCCTGTTTAAAAAAAAGAAAAAGAACTTTAAAAGCAAGCTTGTTTCATCATTCAGCTCTGCCTTTGTTGAAAAAAGTTGACTTTAAAAATCTTTAGGCAGTTACAAAATCATTCTGAATAGATAAACTGCTTCAATTAAATGCCTATCTCTTACTACCCATGTTACTGGACAGAAAGAAGGGGACTCTGCAGGAGTCCAGAGCTGGGTTCTCAGTGTCTAGAAGGCATGAGCACAGGGATGAAGTTAACAGGTGGCACCAAGGTGGGAGACTTTGGCTGACCAGTTCAGCATTGTTAAATGCAATACCCTTGCCTTGTCTTCCTCAGTTATCACTAATATTGTGTACATGGGCAGTTGCCTTGAAAGTCTGGCTAACTCTAAGTCTTTCATCTCAGGAGTCCAACCTAGGAAAAGTACAACTAGACATCACAGATGCCTGTCATAACAATCTGTATCATAAATGGGCAAATGGCCCCTGTCCAATTCTAGTCACAGGTCACTTAGTTTTCTTAAGGAAACTAAGGAAGGAGGTGGTCTCTCTATAAAGTCAGCCTTCCGTTATGGGAATGTGACCTGGATTCCCTAAGTAACCAAAACAAAACAAAACAAAACAAAACAAAATAAAACAAAACAAAACAAAAAACAGTCTTTGTCAGGTGTCACGCTCCCTCACCCCAAGAGCAGGAACACCTCCTTTTAGCTCACTGTAATTTAGGGAGAGAGCAGGAACCCTCAATCTCGGCACCTCAGGAACTATTTCATTCTCACTTCTTTTCAATATCTCCCTTCTTTTCTGTCACTCCTCGTTGACCTCCATGACAGCATACAACAAAATATACATGGGCCAGTCTGGGAAGGTGGTAGCAGGCACGGTGGCGGTAACCTCAGGAAGGTTCCTCTATTACTTAGTACTGTATATGAAGTGAATGGAACAGCACAGAAGCATGAGGGCTTTATGTACCTGTGAGTGTCTCAGTTCTGGCTGAAGAAGATGGGTCTTCAATAGGGCTAGTTCCTATCTGGTTCAGAGAAAGAAAAGAGCAAAAACAGTCGAACAGGCAAGGACTCGAAGTTATGCAGTCACTTCTACCAACTCCTTATAGTTAGACTTGGACATGGCTTTCATGTAAAGATGCATCCTTTTCAAGCCAGTATCCATGACACCCATTTTAGTCAAGGAGTCACATTAAGGGATATGATTTTCCAACTGCTTGCTGGAACTTAAATTCGCTGAATAGGTATTTATTCAGCGGTCCATGAAACTCGGTCCATGGCTTAACTACAAAAGCACACAAAGGTATAACAGTCCTTTGTCATTTTCATTGGGCTACTCGCAGGCCAACTCCCCTTCCTCTCCCAGCGCCGACGGAGGGGGTGCTTGGGGACTAAGTCAGAGAGATGGGGTGCTACCATTACCCCCCACCCCCCCAGGCAGACAACGCCATGGAGGGGGAGAATTTAGGGAGCCGCCGCGGCCAGTACTGGCCAACTGGCAGGTGCAGGGCCAGGTGCTGGTCGGCTGTGAGCCGCCCATCTCAACTGCGATCTCGGTCTGTCAAGATGCCGGGCTACACCAGGACTGTGTCGGGGCTCCGGACCGGAACTTTCTCACCGTCCGAGGTGGAAAAACCCAGAAAGCAACTTGCCTCCGGCCATTTAGCGTCTCCATCGCAGAGCGGGGACCAGGACGCAGGTCTCCAGCCGCCCAGTCGGGATTCTCTCCCAGCCCCGGAACTCTCAGCCGCGCCTCGCCCCAGGGCGATCATTTCCACTCCACATTCGCGATCCTCTAAACCCCCGGGGCTTGCCCGCCTGGTCCCCGGAGTTTCGCGATCCCGGACGCGGGGCACCGCAGGCCGCCTCCGCGCGTGCGCACCGCGGCTCCAGAGCACCGCCCGGCCGGGAGTTACACCTCCCTGCCGGCGGGCAGAGGAAAGTTCGCGCTGCCAAAGAAGTACGAAGAGCCGGGAGGGTCAATCTGCGCCGGAGTTCAGGCTGTGGGCCAAAAGCCCCGGCTATAAAGCCGTCAAAGTTGCCTCCTCCTCGCGGGTGGGAAGGACAAACTAACAGGGCGGAGAAGCTGCCCAGAGGCTGGGTGCTGTCGCACTGCACCGATTCCTCGGGCCCCGAGCCGGCGCCATGTGGAATTTGCTGCTGCTGCTGCTGCTGACTGTGCTCGTGTTGGCGATCCTTGGCACAGTTTACGTAGGACTCTTTGCAGAGAGCTCCCCGAACCCCTTTTCCGAGGATGTCAAGCGGCCACCTGCCCCCCTGGTGACCGACAAGGAAGCCAGGAAGAAGATTCTCAAACAAGGTCAGCCGGAGGGACCTTGGGAGAGCGGGGCTGAGATTGGGCATCTGTGTGGGCTTGTGAACCCATTCCAGAAGGGGACCCGGGCTAGTTTCCCGGTTTGTAAAGTGCAGGGCGGGCTTTCTTGCACGTGAAAACGCCCGACTTGATGTCCACCACCGGTGAGAACATTCACCTGGGCAGGTGCAGGGAATGGTGACCCCGTCCTCAGGCACCGTCCTTGGCGTGCTGAGGTCTGGACACAGCCAACCACCACCAGCCCTAGCCATTGAATATGGCCGCGCATCCCAGGGGAGAGAAGACGGGCTCTTTCCCCCACTTGGTTCTAGGACCTTAACTTTTCCATTTACTCTCCCATGTAGGCTCAGGGACATGGGAACGCTGCACTGATGGGCATTGTGCCCATCAAGTGATTGATGTGGTTGGACCCTGTTTGCAAAAGTCACTTAACAGGGTGCCTCAGACTCTGAACCCGCTCTTTCATCAAACGGATTGCTTCAAAGTTTAATTTGTTCTTCTTTCTGAGGTTTAAAGAAAGAGTTCTTTGGCTTTTTTTTTTTAAAGCGCCTCTTTAATCTGGTAAATTTTATACTTCTGTGTGAAAGTTACTTGCTAAACCCCCGGGGCTTGCCCGCCTGGTCCCCGGAGTTTCGCGATCCCGGACGCGGGGCACCGCAGGCCGCCTCCGCGCGTGCGCACCGCGGAAAAATAGTAATGTTCTAAGTAGAAGGACTGTTAGTCTGGATTTGGGAGATCAGTTTTAACTTGAACTCTATCACTATTTTACTGCAAGCCATTAACAAGTCACTTCACCTACCTGAGGTTAACTGAACATAAGATGACTAGTTTAACTTTTCAAACCAGTTTGTGGTCTGTTGGTGGGTCATGAAATCAATGCAGTGGACTGTAATTAACATTTTAAAATGTAGTAACTAGGACCTCCCTCGTGGTGCAAAAAGTTAAGCCTCAGCACTATGCAGCTATCAACAGTCACTGCAGCCACTGCTGCATGAGTTTGATCCGCAGTCCTGGAGGTGACCCACATGGCGCAGCAGACCTCTCCTGATCTGTCCACTGCCCCCCTCAGCAGTGTTTTTCCGTAGAACGGCCTGTTCTGCTCCCCATCTGTCTCTGGTGAATCCTCTCACAGCCCTTGCACCTTTGGTCTGTACCCCAGTTCTGTATGCATAAGTAAATAAATCTTTAAAAAAGAAAGTTGGGGAAATTCCCCAGGTACATAGTGGCTAGTGGCTTTGGTTAAATCAGTTCAGATCAAACTAAATCAGTTTCATCTTCCTGACTGGTCCTGCAATTCTCCCTGGCTAAATGTTTGCAATATTTCGGTTAGCAGCTCAGTGCCAAACTGCTCTAGAGTTTTCTTGCATTATACAAACTTGAAAAGTCTTCCTTGCTTTTTTGCTGCCCCTCCTTGAGAAGCCCAGCCTCTGTTCCCTCTGTTACAGCTTTTTCAGCCAGCCGGGTGCCAGAGAAACTGGATGTGGTGGTGATTGGCAGTGGTTTTGGGGGCCTGGCAGCAGCTGCAATTCTTGCTAAAGCTGGCAAGAGAGTTCTGGTGCTAGAGCAACACACCAAGGCAGGAGGCTGTTGTCATACCTTCGGAAAGGATGGCCTTGAATTTGACACAGGTAAGGTTTATGCGGCAATGGGGCTGGAGTAGCCACTGTGGGCTAACACTGGTCATTCTGTTGTTTGGGAGGCCTCCCCTTCTCTCTCAGCACCACTTCGTCTGACAGCCACCCCTCTTGGGAACGAAACTGGGCAGGGATTTGGTGGTGTCTGCTGCAGTTCCTCCCTGCAGCTAGGGTGTCCAGCGCCCTCCACTATGGGCTTGACCATATAGGAACACCGTCTACCTTGTTTCCTTGTTCACCGTATCAGGCTCAACCCTTTGTCCCTATGCCACCTTGTTTTTCTGTCTCCCAACAGGGATCCATTATATTGGGCGCATGGAGGAGGGCAGCATTGGTCGTTTCATCTTGGACCAGATCACTGAGGGGCAGTTGGACTGGGCTGCCTTGTCCTCTCCCTTTGACGTCATGGTTTTAGAAGGACCCAGTGGCCGCAAGGAGTTCCCCATGTACAAAGGGGAGAAAGCCTACATTAAAGGCCTCAAGGACAAGTTTCCCCAAGAAGCAGCTGCCATCGACAAGTATATAAAGTTGGTTAAGGTAACATGGACACCCTGAGTAGTCTGTTTATGACCAACAAGGCCGACCTTCTTCATTTCGGAATAACTGGTGGGAGGCAGAAAAGGAAGAACAATTGGTCTGTCCTGAACTCAGCCCCCACCATAGCTGACCTCTGTCTCTGCAGCCGGTCTCAGCAGCGGCCATGCCCGCTCTGGCCTCTGGGGGGCGCCCTGCCCCACTCCCGCCGAGTATGCTGAGCTGGCCTCCATACAGTCAGAGCACTCTCCCTTTTTTGTTCGTCTGAGACCAGATTGAGATTTTTCAAAAGGAATTGGAGAAGAAAAGCAAAAAAAAGGACTGGCTGATCTGATTACAGAATGGGAAAACTCAGTGCACAGATTTTTAAAAATTTAAACTCAGTAAAGTTCAGCCCACAGCCTGGGGGGTGTAGGCTGCTGGAATGGTGATTCTGCACGGTGGTGTCAGAGATGAGACCTGTTCTCCCCGGCTTACTTTCTCCCCTAGGTGGTATCCAGAGGGTACTTTCATGCCATCTTGTTGAAGATCGTCCCGTTGTTTGTGGCTCAGCTTCTCAACAAGTCTGGTGTGCTCAGCCATCTCTCTCCCTTCCTTCGAGCATCCACACAGAGCCTGGCTGAGGTCTTGCGCCAGCTGCCGGCCTCCCAGGAGCTGCGGGCCGTGCTCAGCTACATCTTCCCCACTTACGGTGGGTGTTGGCTGCAGGAGGCCGCGGTGGTGCTGCCCTCCTGACTGTTTCTTTCTGAGCCTACTGGGCTGACTAAAATGGAGCTGTATAAACCCCAGGCCCACTGACGCTTATGGACGAGAAGTCTGTCCACCTGCCTGCTGGATTCCCTGGTAGTTTCCCCTTGCCTCTGCGCTAGATGGCTCCTTGTTTAAACCAACACTGTCCTCCATGCTACTGGCAGCGTGGCCGCTAGAGGGAAGACTTTCTCCTGGCTCCTGAGACCTGTAAAATAGCCTGGGTTTGAATGGAGCCCTCTGGCTGGCCTGAGTCCTGGAGATCAACTGGGCCTGGAGATGGGCATATTCTGGCTGCTTGTTACCCGACAGGGGCCAGATTCCTTTCTGAATGGGGCCGCTTTGCCTCATCACCCTGTCCTTTTCTCCTGTAGGTGTGCCCCCCAATGATGCTTCTTTTTCCATGCACTCCCTGCTGGTTGACCACTACCTGAAAGGGGCCTTTTACCCCAGAGGGGGGTCCAGTGAAATCGCCTTCCACACCATCCCAGTGATTCAGCGAGCTGGTGGTGCCGTCCTGACAAGGGCCACTGTGCAGCGGGTGTTGCTGGACTCAGCTGGGAAAGCGTGTGGTGAGAGTTGGGCATTGTGCCTCACGGTCTCTGGGCTGTGGTGGGGGAGCGTTGGGTGGAGAGACAAGAAAGCAGTGAGTGCAGAAGGCATGGAAGAACCAGCCTCCTCGTGGGCGTTCTTTCAAGGCTGGACTCTGCTCCAAAGTAGAGGCCTGGAGTCAGCCATTAGTCTGGAGGCAAAAAGGAGGCAGAAGGATAAAGGATTACATAGTCTTCAAGGAACAGCATTTAATCATTCACTCCACAGATTAAAATGTTTATCTAGTAATCTGTGACCGTGTGTAGGGCTGTGTCCTTTTCATCTTTATGTTTATAGGTCATAGCAAGCTGTAAGGCTACGTGTCTGCTCACAAGGCGTCTGGTGAGATGAGTGAGTAACTAGGCCCTCCATGTGGCAGGGAAGATGCCCTGTGCTCCGTGTGGCAGGAGCACCTTGCCGGCTCAGGTTTTTGCCATTCCCTTTACAGAGAGTCAAGTCCCATTATAGATGGGCTCCGTGATGAGAGGCTCTGTGGGAAAGGGTTCTGGAAAGCAGACTACAGACTAGGCCATCGATGACCAGGCGTACTTAAGCACTAAGGGAGGGGTCAGGGAGAAACAGGAAAACAGAAGTGTGACTGTACAGTCACCAAGAGCAGGTGAATGTGTGGTCCAGTGTACCACACATTGGGAGCAAAGGCCACAAGCAACTCAGAATGCTTTCGTAGAGACAGAGAGAGGGGCTGTCAGCAGAGTGAGCTTTTCTCTCATGTCCAGGAGCAAGTTCTCTTTCAGCTGAAAGAGTTCCGTGAAGGTGGGTTTATCAGTTCAATTCAATTCAATATCTCTATTTATTTTTGCTTTACATGGGCTAGGCGACAAAAGATTAAAAAAAAAAAAAAACAGAGAATACCCAATGCCTAACTCAGCAGGTTTCCAATCTCATAAAGTCACTGTGATATAAATTAAGTGCCATAGTCGGGGAAGAGCAGGGAGGGCCTCAGAGGGGAAGCAGAATGATCATATTGGGTGATGAAGGGTGAGGAGAAACTAGCCAGAGGTAAGGGGAGATTACTCCAGCCAGGGGGAGCAAAGAGCACAAAGATGCAGAGGTATGCCAAGCCTGAGTGCTTTTAGGCTTCTGGAAATACTAGACTGAACCATAATAAGCTGCCATCTTTGTAGGTCTAAGTAGCTGAAGGCTGGCTGTTTCTTCTGGTTCTATATAATAGTTGAGTTAGAATGGCCAGAGATAAGGCTGGGCACATGGACGGTGTCAATCAGATCATGAAAGCCTGACACAGGACTGTGGAGTTGATCTTACAGAGAGTAAAGCATCCTTAGCGGGCTTTAAAGAGAGTGTTTCAAACTCACACAGCAGTGAAGCAGGACCTAATTCCCAAGGGAGGGTCTCAGCTCTTGGCTTTGGGATCCCTGTGGAGAATGTTGAGTTTGGCTAAAGAAACGATCTCCCACATGGGGCGGGAGAGCTAAGGAAGGTGAGCAGAGTGAGTGGGACACTTCAGGGAGTTTTGCTCTGAGTTTTGCCTGTGAACTGCCTCCCCGGCCCTGGCTGGCTAGATGCCCAGGTCTGAGAAAATGAAGTGCAGGCTTGAAGAGATGTGTTTGGACATGGGCTTTTCTCTGCCTCCTGGAGTGTGCAGAACCTCAGTCAAGCTCTTGTGCCTGCAGGGGTCAGTGTGAAGAAGGGTCAGGAGCTGGTGAACATCTACAGCCCCATCGTGATCTCCGACGCAGGCCTGTTTAATACCTATGAGTGCTTGTTGCCAGAGAGCGCCCGCTCCCTGCCAGGTAAAGACTGGGCCACCTGCCCTCTTTCAACCTCCCCGACCTGCGCTCTCTACAGCCAGCGTGCCCAGCCTGCACAAGTCTTTCCCCTGGGCTGCCCTTTGTCCTTCAGCAGAAAAGGGGAGAACACTGGTCTCACATCTATCACCATCAAGCCTGTGTTTGGTGGCTGGAAACAACTTCCTTCCTGTCTCATCATTCCCAAAGACCCTTTGGTCATTACTTCTCCTTACATTTTTGGGCATCTTTCCCCATGTAACCTCACCACTTTTCCTCCCCTTTCCTCACTTTCAGTTGCCCTCAATCAGAGATCATCTTTCTAATAGTTGATGATGGAGGGCAGAGCCCTGCAGGGGTATTTCCTCTCATTACGTTCTTTACATCTGTGGCATGAAAACCTTCCTCCCTTTCTCACTTCTGAGTGGGGAAGAAAGGTCTCACATATCACTGAGGGAAGCAAATGCTGGCATGGAGAGGAGACGTTGTGTGCCTTATTTGGGACCCCCAGGTGATCTTTTTCTGCCTCTTTCAGGAACCAGCTCCTTTTTGGGGTGGAGGCCACAGGAACACCCTTCTGATTCACTTCTATCCTTGAGCCCTGGGCTTGAAATCTGGGACCACGATGGAACTAATCTGCTCTGATAGGCTATCCCAAGAGAAAAGACTGGTTTTGTGGAGGGGGGATGTAGGCGTATTTATTGGGTGCCTTTGGTAAGTGTGTCTGAGAAGCTTTACTCTGGCATTACTGAATCCCTTAGCCACCTGGGAGAGAGCACACATTACCCTAATGTTTACTGCTGAGAAACTGAGGCTATACAGGTAAAGTAACTTTCCAAGGTCAACCAGCTCAAAGTGGCAGGCATGAGAACAGGGGTGTATCTGGCCAGAAAGCCAGGCTCTTAGCTTCCTGTGCATTGTGACAACAGGCCTTCCAGAGGAAAGGAGGCTGACTGGCTCTGAGGGCACCCACAGGGTAAGAGAGAGGCCTCTAGGTGAAGATCTCTGGCTGGGGCGGGAGGCGAGAGAAAGGAGTATGCAAGAGTTGACTGGGATGGGAACCAGGGGCGTTAATGGAGGAGACTGGAGAGCTGTGGAAAGAGCTCTCTACCCCAGAGGCCAGCCTGTGGTTTCTCTCTGAGAAACAGAGGAGGTGGGGAAGTTCAGAGTGGTTTGGGAGAAGAGCGAGGTGCTGGATTTACTTGTGAGAGAGAGGGAGGGGTGGGCAGTTAGATTTAAAGCGTCTTTCAGGAAGAGGTGTAAGATGTGTGTGACTGAAAACCAGCCTTCTTGTCCCTTTGCCTCACTTAGCATCTGCTACCAGCCAAGGCCTCCCCCTCTCAGGGGAGTGCTCAGTGGGGTGAGGCAGGGACTGCCCAATGGCAAGGCAGCTGGGCAGAGCAGGGTGGACCAACAGACTTGACCTTTGGCACTATAACTCCCTCTCTCCCAGGACCTCTGAACACTGACGCTGCCCTCTGGCAGATCCCAATGTCCTACCCGGATCTGCCCTCTCCCTGGGCAGCCATGCTAGAGTCACCTTTCTGTACGTTCACCAGAGGAATCTTCTAAAGCTTGCAGCTTTCAAAGCTATTAGATCTCCCACCAGGGACCAAATGCCCCCTCCCCATCCTTCCTTCTTCTTTCTACTACCCCCGCCCCCTGCCCACCCCAGGGCTGGAAAGTTGGACATTGTCCCAGTTGAATCCCAGTGAGAGCGGCACGCCTCTGCCTACCTCAGAGACCCAAGGCACGACCACTCCTGTCTGGGATGTTCTCATAGATCTGTACTTCTCAGAGGTAGGAACCAGCTACCTGGTGGCCTTTGGGATAGGCTGTGCCAGTTGGGCTTGAGGGTGCAGGCGGGGTGGTCAGGCAGAGGGAGGCCTTGTGAACAGGAACACTGCATAAATTCACTGCTGAGCCTCCAGGAGGTGATGGGGGATGGTTTGGAGAGGAAGGTTTTTGAGTGGGGAAGGCTGGCCTGACAATGTCGGTGAGGGAAGCTAAAACTGGCATAGCTGTTGGTTACTCAGGGTGATCTTTTCCTGCTGCGTATATAATTCCTGGACTCCTTCCTCCAAACGGGAGAAAGGGAGAGGTGCTACTTGGAGGTATTTGCTTTCTAAGGGGCCTTTGAAGATCGTGGGGGTGTCACACCTGGGACCCTGCATCCCTCTGTACTCATGCCTTCCCACCCTAGAGGGGGGGTGTCAGCAGGGGTGCGATAAGGCAACCCTGTGGCTTCTGAGCAGTTCATTTCTTGTTTCTTATCTTGGCTGTGAAAACCCACATTCCCTTCCTCTTTCACTGTGCTCCACTGCCACGGCTGGGTGTTTTCAAACCCTTTTCACACGCAACGGCCTGTTTTGGGTGATAAGCTACTGACAATTCTGGTCCCCTGCCCTTCGCACTCCATTCTTTGCAGTCTATTCAGGTAGCCACCTTTCAGGAAAATGCCCTTTTCCCACTAGTCAGGGATCACAGCTGACTCCTTGTAATGTCCCCAGGGCCTGGCTAAATATTCCACGCATAGGCCCCCAAAAGCAACCTCAGGCAGGTGCTAGAGATGGCCCCAGGAATGGGTACAGAGGATGAGCCTCTGTGAGAGGAGGTTCTAGAAAAGTGGTCTGGGGTCATCCTGGGAGTTGCTGAGGTCCTGCTTAGGTCCTGAGGACACTAGCTGTCTCTCACAGGAGCTGCCTTCCTCCACGGTACTGTTCCTCCCTCCTCCCCAGCCTGAATCCTGAACCGCCAGGTGCCAGTAGTGCTCCTTGCATTTGCTTATTGGCACTGCTCGCCACTTTGAGGCCTTGCATGGACGGTCCAGCACACTAGGAATTATGCACATTCACTCATCCAATGGCTTGTATTAAAGTTAATACTGAAATCAAGGCTGATAAAAAAAACTACTGTTCACATGTGGGGAGCCTAGGTGTCTGCTCCTAACTTAAAGGCCTTAAGGGAAAGATGGTGGCACTTAGCCTGGGACTGCCCTGCAGGCACCCAGCGCCAGCTTAGGGAAGCTGGGTGTCACCTATTTCTAAGGGTACCCAGAGCAGAAGTGGGTGGAGGTAGAAAAGCGGGAGTTGGGGGTTGTCCTTCAATGGCAGGAGAGTGAAGATTGGGCCCCTCCAAGTCACTGTTGGAGTATCAGTGATAAAAATGGCCCCGGGACAGCGAGGCTGCAGACAGTGAGAGGTCTCAGGACCAGAAGTGGCTGCTCTGGCGGAGGCTCACAGCTGTGTTAACTCTCTGGCAGGTGTGAAGCAGCAGCTGGGGATGGTGCGACCAGGCCTGAGCATGCTGTCTGTTTTCATCTGCCTGCGGGGCACCAAGAAGGACTTGGGTCTGCAATCTACCAACTTCTATGTTTATTTTGACACAGACATGGACAAGGCGTAAGGCGCGCGCGCGCGTGTGTGTGTGCGCGTGTGCACATGGGTGTGTGTGCTTGGGGGCAGGATGTTAGTGTGGGCCAAGAGCCTATACCTGCTTCATATTCTCCTGATGCTGGGGAGTAAAAAGCAGATGGGGGTGGGAGGAAGTGGGCGCGAATTGCTCATTTCACCCTTAGGATGAAGCGTTACCTCTCGATGCCCAGGGACAAGGCTGCGGCACACATCCCCTTTCTCTTCGTTTCTTCCTCATCAGCCAAGGACCCAACGTGGGAGGACCGATTTCCAGGTGGGCTTAAGGCCCTGCGGGAGGAGGGGTGGGGTGTAGTGGGCAGCAGTAGTGACCCCGTCTGCCTTCCCAGGGCGGTCCACGATGATCGTGCTGGTGCCTACTTCCTATGCATGGTTTGAGGAGTGGCGGGATGAGCCAAAGGGAAAGCGAAGCAGTGGCTATGAGGCCCTCAAAAACTCCTTTGTTGAAGCTGCTCTGTCAGCTGTCATGAGGCTGTTCCCGCAGCTGGAGGGAAAGGTAGGAGCAAGATTGTGGTTGTGGTGACAGTACTCCTGGTGCCATCTCCACCTTTGTTTGGGGGCAGAGAAGTAACCCTGAGGTAACAGGCCCAGGGAAGGATAACCCATGCAGGCTTAGTCAAAGGCAGTACACATGGGACAAGAGACAAGGTCTCACAGTTTCCATTCTTGTCCCCGGCTGCCTTTTTTGCTTCCTCAGGTGGACAGTGTGACTGGAGGATCTCCACTGACCAACCAGGTCTATCTGGCTGCTCCCCGTGGTGCCTGCTATGGGGCTGACCATGACCTGGGCCGCATGCATCCTCGTGTGATGGCCTCCATGAGGGCACAAAGCCCCATCCCCAACCTCTACCTGACAGGTATACCATAACTCCATTTGCCGGGACCCTCAGAACCTCAGATCCTGACACCCCAAGTCCTCTGGCTCTGTGTTCCCTGCAACCTCCATACTGAGCTGAGCTTCCTCAGCAGGCTATGAGTTTTGTTCCTGAGCTGAAGTCATCTTAGGGTGACCCTAGTAGGGAGGGATGACCAGCTCTTGCAGTCCAGCCCCCTACCCCCACCTCCTCACTTGGGTCTTTGCTCTTGTCTCCTAGGCCAGGATATCTGCACCTGTGGGCTGATGGGAGCCCTGCAGGGCGCACTGCTGTGCAGCAGTGCCATCCTGAAGCGGAACTTGTACTCAGATCTTAAGAAGCTTGGCTCAAGGATCCAGGTGCAGAAGAAGAAGAATTAGTTCAGTCAGGGATGAGCCAGAAGATTTTGACCAGTGCTTTGACTTACCCATAATGTCTTTCTACATTAGTGCCTTGCTCATATAAAGCACCTGTAATTTGGTTTTAATTTCCAAATAGTGGCCTTATACTCTAGTCTAATATACATCACTGTTCTTAGACTGAAGCTCTTCCACCTGGTGAAGGTGACATGCTACCCCCACTGAAAAGGCCCAGGGCAGGCTACTGATTTAGATCGCCTCCAGGTCTCAGCAGGCAGTGCGCTGCATCCCACAGCCACACCTCCTTACTCTGAACAAGTGCCAGCTGGACAGACCCTTAAAAGCGCCGGTGGAGCTGAAGCAGATTGGCCCAGTTGTCCTGAGATGTCTCTCATTTACTCTTGGGCTGCGTTAAAGGAGTTCTACATAGTTGAGGAGAAAGGGTCCCCAGTGAGGTTTCAGTCAGAATGTGGGGATGATTTTGGTGTGAGGTGCCAAGGCCTTCAGATCCTGCTTTTGCTGATTTCAGGGGTTGCTCCAGAGGCTGGAATCATGCCTGACAGGCTTGTGGTTGTAGGGGCAATGGCAAGCTATGTTAGTGAGGTGTGTATAAAGGGCCAGCTCACACACAGCCAGGCCCTAGGCTCATCTTCTTTGTGATCAGAGTGGCACTGGGATCTCAGCACCCCAGCACCAGAACACATCCACAACACATGGGGGAGCGTGATACTAGCAGTGTGGGCACAGGACTGGAAAGAGGACTGCAGTTAAGGCAGCTGAAAGAGCATCTCAGACCTCAGGTATAGCGAAGATATGTACAGGGAGACAACCAAAACCCAGCTGCCGGGGCCCTCCCTGGTGGCGCAGCAGGTTAAAGCACAGCACTGAGAATCTAAAGCTGCTTCCGCATGAGTTCTATTCCAGCCTGCCCCGGAGGTGACCACATGGCGTGGCAGACCTCTCCTGACCCGCCCGCTGCTCCCCTCAGCAGAGTACCTCGTCGATCTACCTGTTCTGCTCTCCACTCTGTCTATGGTGAAGCCTCTCGCCGCCCCTGAGCCTCTGGCCTGTACCCCAGCTCTGTATGCACAAATAAATAAATCTTTAGAAAAAAAAAAAAAAAAAAAAAAACTCAGCTACCTCCTAGGCCTAGAACACCAGGGCTGTAAGGTGGGGAGGAGGAAGAATGGGGCTGAAATCAGCTGACATTAGAAAATGGAAAGCTACAGAATGTGTACAAAGCCCTGAAGTGGCATTTCCAGTTTAGTGCTACATTTGGAGATTGGATAGAAAAACGAATAAAAATCGAAGGTTAAAAAAATGCCCCTTCCCTGGCCCTCCCTGGTGGCGCAGCGGATTAAAGCACTGCACTGAGAAGCTAAAGCCACTTCCGCATGAGTTCGAATCCCGCCTGCCCCGGAGGAGACCACATGGCGTGGCAGACCTCTCCTGACCCGCCCGCTGCTCCCCTCAGCAGTGTACTTCATCTACCTGCCTGTTCTGCTCCCCACTCTGTCTCTGGTGAAGCCTCTCACCATCCCTGAGCCTCTGGCCTGTACCCCAGTTCTGTATGTACAAATAAATAAATCTTTTTAAAAAAAAAAAATGCCCCTTCCCTTATATTTAGCCCAATTTTAATGCACTATTAATAGAATTGATATATTAATAAAATTGATAATTTTATAGCTTTAATATTTGAAATTTATTTTGGTTTCTGTGCAATGATACAAAACTACATCAAGATGGCATCGATAGAAGCTCAGTGAAACATTATATACTGAAAATACTTATCATTAGCCCAAAATAAGCTTTAAAAATAATTAGTTACAAAAACTAATAAAACACTGCAAAACAGTGGCAATCTAATAACTGGGAAAATGAAAAAGGGAAACAATTTCAACAAGCAATCAGTTTGTTAACAGTAGAAGACTTCTACATGAAAGGAGTATCTATCGAAGACTGAGGGACTGACTTTGTGGCCAACCTGAAACCCTATACAGCTCACACCCAAGGCCTTTACACAGGAACTTCTAAATTGGGATATTTGAGAAATTCATATGACTTGTGGAACCGGCTGGGTTAAGATTCTTGGCTCTAGATGTATAGTTACATTAAACCTGAGAATCCTTTCCCACTATTCTTTTTAAGCAAGGTGATACCAAACATAACCTTGCCAGCCAAGTTTTCAGAAAACAACTGGCAGAACACCAGGGTTTGGGGTACAGCACCCTCCTCATATTCAAATCATTCAGAAACGTGCAAAGTGCTGGCTTTCACCACACAAACAGTGTTATGTATCAAGTTACCCTGTATAAACAAGGATGGGCTTCTGTTTTTTGAATTAAATGACATGAATTGGAAAAGAAAATGAGAATCGCCATCAGGAGAATTTTGGAGGTTTACAATTGCATCACTGAATAGTTCATTACAAGCCACCATGAGAAAAGAAACCTCAGAATACATGTATATATATAGCTGCTTGTCAAGCCTTTCCGAGTTGTGTCCCTGGACTCGACTTCCCACCCCACCAGGCCCCCACCTGAGAGGTGCCTGGGCCAGCACACCCTCATCCACACACAATCACTAGGAAAACTTGCTACCTTTGAAAAGAAACCAAGGTGTCCTTTGGCATGAGAGCAAGTGGAAGGTCAATTCTACTGTAATCTTTCAGCACAAGAAATGATAATTCACAGAGTCTCAAAAAGTGGAGCTATGCAGATTCAACAATATTTGGTGTCCACTTGGTACAACCCTCTGGGTTCCTGAAACCAGCCTTTCTTTCTGCTCTTAATGAACAAAACCCGACCACAAGGGACAGCAGCCAGCAAAAGCTGGTATGTGAGAACTCAGCTGTGTCACATCCTGATATCCTCAACAAAGAAAGCCACTTTGCAAGAAGAAACTGAATTCCTGAACTACCTAGGAAATGTCTCTAGGCTGGGCAGATGCAGAGACAGTGCCCGGGACATGCCCACAAGTAGCTTAGTTTTCTTGGTGAGATGGGACAGAGACCTGACGCTGACTGCCTTCTGAAGTTTAAAAACTACTGGAGTAGAAAGGAAAGAGCTATATGGGTTAGGGGTGGGGGGTAGTTAGGAAGGTACATGGGAACACTTGAGCTGGGCCCTGAAGAAATAGATTTAGGGAAGGCAAGGGAAAGAGAAGGCGTTGCATTCTAAGCAAACGGCAACATGGGAGGCCCGGGAGTGGAGGGCATAGCAATAGCAAAGAGCACAGAGTCTAGATGACGCCAGACGAGGGCACCCTGGCTTGGCTGGGATGCGGAGGGAGACAGGAGAGTCCTGAGCTCTAACGTGCCTATAACCGGATTCTCCAACCCATAAGAGGGAGCGAAAGAAACTTTAGATAAGGGCAAGTATTTTGAAGAGCAATCTGGTCTCTCCGCACACCAAAAATGAGGAGAACCAATCAGAGGCTCCTTAAAAAAAAATCACAACAAAACCCAACACCCAATAAGGAGACAGGGCATGGTGTAGCAAAAGAGCAAAGAAAATGGGAAGGAAGGTTGTCTAGTTATTAAAAGAAAAAAAAATGTGTAAGACTTGTATCAAGAGAAATGATAAAAGTTTGCAGTTTGGAGTTGAAATGATTAAAGAAATCACAGAACTGAGCAGGGTGTACAATAGGTAGGAGAGAGACATCCTGGTTTAGTGACAACAGGACCATCTAGCTGAAGTAGCACACAGGACTGAGTTCTTTGGGGTGCAGGTCAAGGATATAGACTTGGAAGTAACTTAGAATAAAAAACAAATGAGGTTCTGAGGAGACAAATTAATACATCTGCTTTTGAGGGTCCTCGCCCCTGGCCAGCACAGAAAAGGCAAAAGAGTTCTTAGAAGCCAGGAAAGGTTTTCAAAAAAAACTAAAGAAGGAATTTCAATGTGGAGGGTAAGTGTCTTAAGTCAGTCAAAAGTAAGACCAAGCCTTGAAAACAGTCATTGGATCTGGTGACCTGAACCTCTGGAAAAACACTAATACAAAGACAGGAACCAAAGTGGGTTCATCAAGGTCATGAAGAGAATGAATGGCAAGGCAACGGAAGCAACTTCCTGGAAAAGCTGGGCAGTCGCATGATTGAGTCAGACGGCCAGGAGTGGGGGGCGTGGCCATGCACGAAGGCAGGGAAGGTGCAGTGCAGACAGGCACAGGCTGAAAGCCTTAGAAAGGAGGCAGGGGAGAGAAAGGAGGCAGGAAACAGCGCAACCAGGCTCTTCCTCAGCACTAGGAGACTCTGAGAGAAGACTCCTCACACTGGAGGAGGTATTAATGGCTGGCGCACGAGTGATGGCAAGGAACATTCATTCCATAGCCCCCAAATGGAAACTTCAACCCAAAGCCATGGGCTGTTTTAAGCAAGAGGGAAGAGAATGCGACAAACAGGATGGTCCCTTCTGCCTTCGGTGGAGGAGACTTCATTCTCCCCTCGCCTCCTGCGTTCCTTGCACTTCCCTGAGATCAGTGCTTCCCTTTTATTTTTATTTCCCCCCCCCCCCTAGAAACCACAGTAACTATGCACTGTAACTATGCATGACTAGAACAGATTTAAAACATTCAACAACATTATCCAAGATAGTACTCTTTATGCCTGGGGAGCTCTCAATTTCTTGTATTAAAAAAACCCTGACAGGGGATAGAACTAGAATTTTTAGTCATTTTCCTTGGCATTTTACATCATATAAGACCACTAATTAAATTAATGTAAGTCAGTTTATGAGAAATGTTTCAGGAAAGCTCTTCCAAGAAACTACAGACTCAAACCAAAATCCTTTTACAGGTTTTGTTGCAAAAAGCTCTTATTACAGTTGTGAGCATGGAAGAATGCAGCATTTCAATAGTCATAACTGTATTTGTAAAAATCTATAATGGGAATAGTGGCTTTTCAGCTTTACTCCCACCACCCCCAAGTTCAGTTTTATACTCAGTACACCAAATGGAAGTTGATTCACTTTGTCTTCACTAATATGAAAATATCAGAAAAACTGTGAAGAACATATGCTAGTTGGAAGCAATAAAGCTTTTTTTAAGCTGCCATTTGGTTTACCACTGAAGCCTTTGGAGAAGTGTGTTCACAGTGGCCCTCTGCCCATAGTATTCATCGTCTACATCATCCCATATCCCCCCAAAGTAAGAGGCCTTGGTAGAAAAGCACCTCCGCCTTCTGCTATATCCTGGGCTTCACAGATGGTTTTTTGATGAGTGCAATGCTATTTTCAAGGGGCAACTTGACTACAAGGCCCAAGGGAGGGTGCTTAGCAGTAGTAGCCTGCGAGGGTGGGGGTCTCCCTTTGGTCAGAGCTGGGTTCCCTTGCTCCCTCCACTCACACTCAGAGTTGAAAGGGTGGAAACCACCAGCATAAAGGGAACACAGGAGTACAAGGTCGCCAAAGTGCAGGTGCAAAAACTGAAAGTCCCTTGCCTCAGTCACCAAATACCAGAGGAGGGAGTGTCTCTTCGGTCACAGTTTTTAACTCTTCGTTTCTCTTGATCTACAAACAAATCAGCAGGCAGGACAAGGTTCTCGAGAACAGAAAGATCAAATCTGAAAAGAGAGCAACATGGCCCATTGGTAACGTTCACCTTTTTCCAGAGGAAAATATTTCAATGCTGACTTGGAATAGGAGCGGGAGGGGGATGACCTTATAGGTACTGCAGTTCAGAGAAAAAAAACTCAGTATTAAGACAAACTGACACTCTGACCCTCTGATCAGCAATTAACAACAACAAAAGAAAGCACAAAGGTTATTTTAAAAGTCAGTTTGAAATAAAACAAATACTAGGAAGTATATACTTGGTGGAGGAGACATGAGGAGCTTGGTTTCTTTCTTTTTAAGAAAAAGATTTATTTTTATGTATGTATACAAGAACTGGGGTGTAGGCCAGAGGTATGGGAATGTGTGTGGGAGAGAGAAGATTCACCAGAGACAGAGCGGGAAGCAGAACAGGCAAATCTACTGAGATACACTGCTGAGGGAAGCAGTGACCGAGACAGGAGAGGTCTGCTGCGCCACGAGGGTCAGCTCCCTGGCTGAGGATCTAACTTAGGCCGTAGTGGCTGGTGACAGTTTTTACAGCTCAGACTTTAACCCCTGTGTTGCCTGGGAGGCCTGGAGCTTGGTGTCTGCTATCATTCCACATAATTTCAAGTTGTCTACGTGGGCATTTTTTTAAAATCAGAATAATCCTTAGTCATTTACCTAGGAAGGTACTAGGTCAAGGGCTCCATTGTAAAGCTGACCTAGTAGGCTAGTTAGCAAAGATCTGAGTGCATGGCTTACTCTATAGCTGATAAGAGCTGCACAAGTGATCTGTGTTCCCCACAGAAGTTTGGGGACAATCCACACTTGGGTTACTAACTACTCCTTATCAATGACTTCATGTCCCTGAAACGACGGGTGAAGGAGAGTGTGCTGGCAACAAGGCCGGGGAGGACACTGTCCCACTTAAGCTGCCTTCGGGAGAAACTTGCTCAGTTCCTGGTGCTACAAGGTGGTGGTGGTGGTGGTGAGGCTTTACTGTTTGGCAGAGGCCGGGGTTGGCAGAGGCGACATGCAGGAAATCGAGTACCCAATGCTGGGAGCTGAAGGCCTATCTGTTTCAGGATTTGTTCGTCTACACAAAGTGTAGTTTAGTGCTGTGATACAGAAGTGTGTCAGCAGCAGTGAGCATCGTCTGGGAACTTCCTAGCAGTGTAGAGGCACGTGCTTTACTTCATGCCTAGAGAAGTCAGATTTTGTTTCCTGTCACAATTCCCAAGGCGGTTCATATGCCTATTAAAATTTACAAAGTGCTGGGCCCTCCCCAGTGGTGCAATGCGTTAAAGCGCAGCACTGCAAGCTAGACGCAACTGCTTCAGTGTGAGTTTGATCCCTGCCCCGGAGGTGACCCACATGACACAATAGACCTCTCCTGACCCTCCCGCTGCTCCCCTCAGCAGTGTGCTTCATCAGTCTGCCTGTTCTGCTCCCCATTCTGTCTCTGATGAATTCTCTCATCACCCCTGCCCCTCTGGCCTGTACCCCAGTTCTGTATGCATAAATAAATGAACCTTTAAAAACAATTTACAAAGTACTGCAATAGTGCAAAGAGCTCAGGACAGGATCTTAAGGTGTCACCATCCAGTCTTGACATTGCCACAAACTTGTAAAGGGAAAAAAATCATGGTCTGGGCCTGAGACTCCTCTGTCAAAAGAGGGATCTGTTGCAGTACGCGAAAGTCTCTTCTAGCTCTAATACTGCAGACACGCACACATGAAGTCTACTAAGTGACCTGAAGAGAGCAGAGGCAATGGCAGCAGCACTCCCAGGTCAGCTGCTGTTGCTAGGCCACGCGAGCCCACTGCTGGGCTCACGTCCCGTATCACTCCCAGGGATTGGTTCTTCCTTCCTTACCTTCTGGTCCAAACGCTGATAGTCACCAGCCTTTGGCCGCCGAGTGACTTTGGATCGTTTTCCTTCCAGAACAAAAGCAATAATCTGGGGAGAAGCATAAAGAAAATGATTAACAAAAGGCTAGTGACCTATTTGTCTCTGAAATAAGAGGTGGCCACTGTCAATGACCCTGACAGGAAACAACAGCAATTCACTCCCCGAAGGAAGCCTACTTATAACAGTTTTAAGGATAGGTCCTTTCAATTATACCAGACTCCCTCATATTGCTAAACAGGAAATGACAAATGGAGAAGGGCTGTTCTGAACTCTAGCTTGTGGGAGTCTATATAATTTACTCCAGGCCACTCAGCTGAAAATCTACAGACACTTTCTCAGGAGCTCCAGGTGAAGATACTCCCCCCTCCCCTTTTTTTTTTTTAAGATTTATTTATTTGTTCATACAGAACTGGGGTACAGGCCAGAGATG